AGTTTTCAGGACTATCTGATCAAGATATAATTTACTTCTATCTAAATCAATAACATCAAGAAATTAATTATTTAATTATTTATTATCACAAAAGCAGCCTTTAAAGAGCTCAATGTCTAGAAAAGAGCTTAAAAAATGCAAGTAAAACAATGGAAAAATAGAAATAAAGCATGACATAAATACAAGGGTGGACAGATAGGTAATAGAACAACATAGAGTCAACAGATAGATCCACCCATGGAAAGATACTCGTTTAATAAAAAAGGGGGACATTAAAATGCAAAGCAGTAGGAAAAAATAGTCTTTTTAAGATAGAAATGGTTCAAGTGGAATTTTTGACCCTTACCTAACACCCACTTGTCCCCCACACATGATTTTACACTGTTGTATGTGTTATCACCAGAGAGAGAGAGAGAGAGAGAGAGGGAGAGAGAGAGAGATCTAGTAAGAGGAAAAGAGACAAATCACCCCTCAGAAGGAGGGATGGCCATGCTGCAATATCTTCTCCTCCACTCTCCTCCCAAGATACTGGGCAAGCATAAACACATGCCTGCCATGATTTTTAAGCCATTGGTTCAGGATTCAAACTGTGTTCAGCCATGTGGGAAACAGCAACATACCTGCTACGTCATCTGCTGGTCCCAACAAATATTATTTTAGAGGACAGGCTAAAAGTACTAACTATATCTAAATGCTCAATATATTGGACTAATTTTTATTCTTCTAAATACCACATTAAGAGAGTAAAATAAAGAGAGTAAAATAGGGACCAGCAGTTGCATAATGGCTATGTCACTGGACTCCCACATAGTCGACCACGGTTTGCGTCCTGGACCCGGTGGCTTAAAACTCACACCAGGCGCATGTGCGTGCATGCCCAAGATCCCGGGAGGAGAATGGAGGAGAAGGGATTGTGGCATGGCCATCCCCTCTGGGGGGTGATTTCTCGCTTTCTGTCTCTCTATCTCTCTCTGTCTGTCTGGCAAGTGCACATGCCCTATAGTAAAAACCTCTCCAAAAAGAAAAAAAAAAAGAGAGAGTAAAATAGACAGGCAATGGTGTGAGAGAAGATATTTAAAATATGTATAACCAATAACAAAAAATTAATACCTAGACTACCTGAAGAATTCTTTCAATCCTAAAAACAAATTAAAAACAGAGACAAGGGATATAAATGTCAGGTCTTAAGTAATGTATTACTATATACATGGCTGACCGAGTATATTCAAATGTGAGTAATTAGAAAAAGTACAACATGATAAGACCAACATTTAGTACAACAATACACTCTCAAGAATGACCAAACTTGAAATGGTTGACAAATGCAAGTATTAGTGAGGGCTTTGATCAGCTGGGATTCTCAGACCCTGTTAGTAGAGGTCACTATTAGTAGAGGTAACTTCAGGGAAAAGCATTATCATGGTATAGAATAAAGTTTACCAGCCACATGTTGTATAGCTCATAAATATATCACCCAATAGAAATGTCTCCATATATATAAAAACATATGTAAACAAATAAAATAATATTTTATATACTATTTCAATCAGCCTCCAAATGGAAACAACTCAAATGCTCATCAGTAGAAAGTATGTATAAATAAATGTTGGGTTATTTTTAAAAAGATTTTTGCCCTAGGGCATGTGTGCTCACTGTAGAGAGAGAGACAGAGATGGTGAGAAGGAAAGTGAGAAATTACCCCCAGGGGGGATGACTACACTGCATTCCCTTCTCCTCCATTCTCATGGGATCTTGGGCATGCACGCACATGTGCCTGGCATGAGTTCAAGCCACTGGGTCCAGGACTCAAACTATGGTTAGCCATGTGGGACTCCAGTGACAAACACTATGATATCTGTTGGCCCCAAATGTTGGTGTTTTAATACTTGAACATTATATATTAAGGAAAGTAAACAGACTACTGTTGCACTTAACAAGAGGGAAGAAGTTCACTAACATAATCTTTACTAAATGAAGTAAAAAAAAATGGAGGAATGAGCAGTTGGTGTAATGGCTATGTCGCTGGACTTTGATGTAGTTGACTGTGGTTCAAATCCCAGACTCAGTGGCTTAAACTCACGCCAGGTGCGTGTACATGCATGCCCAAGATCCCAGGAGGAGAATGGAGAAGAGGAGAATGGAGAAGAAGGGCTTGTAGTGTGGTTATTCCCCCCGGGGTATGGTTTCTCGCTTTCTGTCTCTCTGTCTCTCTCTGTCTTTCTGGAGAGTGCACACGCCCTATGGCACAAAAACCTCTCTAAAAAAAAAAAGGGTAGATGCTGCATACTTTCATTTTAAAGGTATAAAAATAAGCAAAATAAATATATGCATTGGAAGTCAAAATAATGGCTATACCTTTGGAGTATTGATTTGTGCATAAATCAATATGAATGTTATATTTCACCTAAAATTTGACTTTAAAATAATATTGCAAGGGCTGGCCCCTGTCCTGGTAGTGAAGGGAGTTGGACTATAAGACTGACCAGGTGGTTTAAATCCTAGTTCCAGTGGCTCAAAACACACACAGGGCAAATGAGAAATGGAGGAGAAGGGATTGGGAACCAGCAGTTAGCGTAATGGCTATGTCGCTGGAATCCCATGTAGTCGACCACGGTTCGCGTCCCGGACCCGGTGGCTTAAAACTCACGCTGGGCGCGTGTGCGTGCGTGCCCAAGATCCTGAGAGGAGAATGGAGGAGAAGGGATTGCGGCGTGACCATCCCTTCTGGGGGGTGATTTTTCGCTTTCTGTCTCTCTGTCTCTCTCTGTCTGTCTGGCGAGCGCACGCGCCCTATAGAGAAAAATTCTCTCCAAAAAAAAAAGAAATGGAGAAGAGACTGTGGCATGTCCATGCTTCACTGGGGAGTGCTTTCTCCATCTCATTCCTTTAGCTATGTCTCTTTCTGGCAAACAAACATGCCCTTGAAAAAAAATGTTAAATGATATTAAAAATAAAGTCGGGCCAGCAGCAGGTGGCATAGTGGTTGAAGTGTTAGATTGTACAGGGCCAACTCCACGGTTTGAGTCCCGGACCCAGCCACTTAAAAACATGCTAAGTGTGTCTGTGCATGCCCAGAGTCTTGAGAGGAGAATGGAGGAAAAGGGATTGTGGCATGACCATTCCTCCTGGAGTGTGAGTTCTCACGTTCCCTCTCTGTCTCTCTCTCTGCTGAGCACACATGTTCTAAAGCAAAAACAACAACAACAAAAAAGAATAAATAAACAGTCCAACAAGATTAACAATAGATGTATAGACGTATGTCTGAGATAAAACACAGGCTGAGTTAAGATGCAATTTACCTTTTTGGGTGAAGGCCCAGAAAAGAGGTTAGTAAAGACTTCCAAAGGCCAGAGTGCAGATTTTGCAAACTTGAAATGTCCCACAGAGCCAGCAGGTAAGACCAAATAACAAACCAGAATGGATTTTAAAATAGCAGCATGGACATGATGATGAGCGGAACTGACATTTGCTTATTATCAATTCCACAGGGCAAGAAGAAGATGGGGAACCAGAGGCATATAGCTTGTCTAAAGGGAATAGCTGCTAGTTACCTCCACGCAATCATTGTCTTTCTTGCATGCCAACACAGTGTCTAGATATTCCAGTCCCTCAAAAATGCAAACCTTCATGTCTTTACAGCTAAGTTCTGTTTTCAGTTTAAAAACATGAAACTGCACACATTCTGTGATATGTGAAGGAAAGATTTATCTGTAATCAAGGTATGTCCCATAGCACATCACTGCCAGTAAACACTGTGGTACTGGTGCAAGACCTCTGTATCTTGTACTTGGCAATGGTGACTTGGAATACAGTAGGTAAGAAATAATTATTTCACTGAATAAAATGGATTGTGTTTTTAAAAAATGAATATAAGGGTCAACCCCTTGGCCTAGTGGTTAGGGAGTAGAATACCATATGACCAACCAAGCTGTTTAACCCAGATCAGGTAGCTTAAAAAACATGCTGGATGTGTATGCCCAAAATCTTAACAGGAGGGAGAAATAGAAAAGAAAGGTTGTGGTCAGGCCACACCCTAGTCAGGGTACTTTCTCCTTCCATTTCTCTCTTGTCTTTCTGTTGTTTCACTCTGGCAAGTACATGTGCCCTCTGACAAATAGATTTTTAAAATTAATATGAATTTTCAAGGCAGATAGAGCAGAAAGACATTCTAGTCTTGACTATAAGATATACAAAAGGATAGTTGATTATAAAAAGCATGTTTGGAGACTGTGTGTAGCTCAGGATTCTAGGAGCTTAACATTTATAATATTGAGCAGAAGGGGACAAAGCCAGAGGAACAGGAAGGAGAGAGAAAATAAGGGAATCCAGATATTATGCTAAAGGGTTGGGTGTTTCTGTTATGGAAATAAATCATAGGAAGCCATCAAGTGTTTAACAGAAACTGGTAGTGTGTTCATTGAAAGACAAAAATGAAAGATCACTCTTAGTTTTGTCTTTTAAAAATAATTTTCACAAGCGACTTTTTGGGTCTTTCAATGTATGGGGTCAGAAGCCTAAAAAACAGCTTGAGAAATAAACTGTCAAACTATCCTCCTACTGTCAGGTAAGAACATATGGTTGAATATCACCTATCTTATTCACATAACTTGTAAGCAGTTGAGGTTGGCCATTTCTGTGTTGAAATCAAGTAAAGAAAGAAAAACAGACAAACTAGATTCTTAATTAAGATTTAATCTTATTTATTAGAGTATGAAGCAAATACATTCTTCCCATACTCAAGCAACATTGAATAGCATGGTATGCTGATCTTTTATGTCCAGGGAAAAGGAATACAAGATAAAAAGCGTGAAAGGAGCAACAGGTGTTAGGTCAGGCACAGTGAAAACCAGAAAAGGCAGGCACAACTAAGAAACAGGCCAAAGTCCACACGTTTAAACTTTTGTCCTGGATCCTCAGCATAATCATTCACTGGAACAGGGAAGCTACTGGCCTCCCAGGCCAGAGCAAGATGGACGACAAGAGCCAAACACGTGGGTCAGAGGTTGACAACCACCAGAGAGGGACGGCAGAGGCCTGAGGCTGCTGGGCACAACATGAAGTGTTTGAGGACCATAGGTCGAGCAGCCCACGGGTCGGCATCCAGAAGTGAGGAGGCTCGGGCGGCTGCTGTTCAACAAACAGGTCTGGGGGCGATAGCCAGTGGGCACACAGCCTGCGGGCTGGTAGCTACTGAGCAGAGGGCTCAGCGGACGACAGCTGCTGGACACATAGCTCAGAGGTCTACAGGATACTGGGAGGCAGGAGCTGGAGATGAAGGAAGCAGCAGGCAAAAAACTGGTTCCTTGACAGGGCCTGGGAGCATAGCAAGCCGTGGAAGAAGGGTAGCAAGAAGTTTCATAGTGGCTGGGCTGGCAGCTGGCTGGTTCACCACAGGTCTCTTGACAGTTGGTCGTGAGCCAGGAACCATCTTGACAGCTACTGGGTACACAGACAACATCTCCACAGCTCACATTTGTAGAGCAGAGGGCAATGGAGGGGGGAAGAGGAACATGGCAGGAGTTTCTGAGGGATCCTGAGTCGCAGTTTCCAGAGCAGTAGTTACGGCAAGACATGGTGAGGCTTGGAGAACAGGCTGTGGTTGAGGGAGAGAAGTAAATGTCTCAAGTTTCATTCTACTCCTCATTGGCTTGGCCCTTTATATATCCCTGGAAGGTGGTGGTTTCGTATACAGACTCTTCCTCGTTGTATGAGGCTGCATCAGAACCCTTTATTAGAACTCAGGAAGTAGTGCTCCTCCTCCTATAAAACTGGATGTTCCTTGCAATGCTTTTCATTGATTGAATATCTGTGTGTGTGTGTGTGTGTGTGTGTGTGTGTGTATGCATTTATTTATAAGCCAATGTGACTGAATTTTATTAGGAGCTCTCCTGAAATTATCCAACCAAAACAGACATGTTTGAAGGCTATGCACCCATTTCAATTATAACCACCATTGCACATTCTTAACATTCTTCTCTTGGAATTATCTTTAACAGCTGTAGAAAATTTCTTAGAAACAGTGGCAAATTATCTCTCTTTGAAGGAAAATTGTACTATTTTTTTAGAAATGACCAAAAGCAGGTGAGATATAAGCAAGTATGCTGTAAAAGAAAGTGAAAATCTCTATAGCCTAAGTGGTAGAAAGACTAAACTACTCTGAGTATTTTCAATGTGATTTCTTTTATTTCTGAATCTTAGTAGAAATTGAATTTCAACCAAAATATCTTTATTCAAAAAATTTGTGCTCATTTTATTCATTTCAGTAAATAAGTAAACTGAGTCAGACTGAAGGCCTGGTTTATGTTTAAGGTTTTTTAAAACATAGTTAATAAACTTGGGCTCCATTAGTTATGGATTCCAGTGTAAATGAAACTAAAGAAGAATTTCTTTTAAAAAGGTGAGCAATATAATATATATATATATTTTTTTTTTTTTTTGAGAAGTTTTTTCTATAGGGCACATGCACTGGCCAGACAGAGACAGCGAGACAGAAAGTGAGAAATTATCCCCCAGGGGGAGATGGCCACGCTGCAATCCCTTCTCCTCCATTCTCCTCTCAGGATCTTGGGCACGCACGCCCACAGGCTTGGCAGGAGTTTAAGCCACTGGGTCCAGGACTCGAACCGTGGTCAACTACATGGGCGTCCAGCAACACAGCTGTTATGCTAACTGCTGATTTCAGCAATATTATATTTTTTATGGCAATACAGGTTTTTTTAATCATGATTACTTGTATTACATCAAAAAATAACATTCTTGATAAAAAATAAAATGAAGTGATTAATACATGGATTTGTTTTGTTTCCAAGACTAGTTCTTATGTTAATTGCCAAAAAAAAAAAAAAAAAAGGAGTTTCGAAACTGCTTCACACAGGCAATAGGATCAGTTTTCCTGTTTGAGTTCTTTCACAGCTATTTGAGGATATATATTTTTGGTAATAATTTTTTTAAAAAATGCATGATCATGGTTAGCTTCAACCAGTCCACTGCATATTTTTCTTCTACTGACATATCCAGTGGCTCCAATGGCTGTTTTAATGGAAATTTAAATGATTTGTTAGATCTAAATTCCAATTCCCTTTGGCTAAAAATTCAATTTAAATTATCACACTTTTTTTATTTCAGTATTCTATGGAAATGCCCACATCTATCAAGTCTCCTTCTCCAGAAGAAGTAGATTTCTATGGTAAAAGGTTGGTTTCTTTATAAGGCAAAACAGGACAATTTTAATGCTAAGGGTAAGGAATAAGAGAATAAAATGATATAGTCTCTGAGGTCCTATACTAACATTTTAAATTTATATCAGTATTTTGGGTCAGTGTTACTCTTCAATGATGTACTTCATGTGTTTGGAGAGCTTCCACTCACCCCTACCCCGACTCCCAGGCCCACATCACCTGATTTTGAATATAGCTGCTAGAGTCTTCTTGTGAAATCCTGGTTGCATCAACAAAATGGCGTTAGTAATAGTTAGCAGCCATATTTAGCTAAATGCTTATCAAGTTTATGTGTTGATGCTTTGTGTCTGCTCTTCTCTAATATAGGCAAGCACCTCACACCCACATCATTAGTACATCAGTGTACTTGTGTTTAAGTATATGTGGATGTGTTCTGTATTTGTTCAACGCACACACGAATGTTCTTCCACAAAGAGAGGGTGTGTCGAATAAGAGAAAACGGGCCTCACTTAATAGTTATTCTGTGGCACACATTCTGGTGTGGGTTTTCACATGTGAAATGTCATTTTATCCTTACAACTCTATACAAGAATGTTACTATTTCAAGTATTCATCTGAAAAACCTTGAGGTTTAGAAAGCTACAGGAATAGATATGAAGATCAATATTTCAACAAAGGATCCTTGACTCCTCAAGTTGTTTTGTCTCCCAGTATTCAATATGACATTACGTAGAGATGTGGTGATACCGTTATGTAATAACCATGATAACATGAGTAATTTGCATAAATGCACTGATCCCAAGTTACTATCGGTATCATTTTATGGAATATTAATACTTTTTCAGTGCTGTGTTAAGGATATAGTAAATGTAATAAAAAGTTCATGTTGGGACCAGCAGTTAGCGTAATGGCTACATCACTGGATTCCCATGTAGTTGATCGCAGTTTGAGTCCTGGACCTGGTGGCTTAAACTCATGCTGGGTGCTTGTGCGTGCATGCCCAAAATCCGGAGAGGAGAATGGAAGAGAAGGGATTGCGGCACAGTCATCCCCCATGGTGGGTGATTTTTCACTTTTTTTCTCTCTGTCTCTTTCTGTCTTTCTGGCAAGTGCAAAACCTATAGCAAAAACTTCTCAAAAAAAAATTCATGTAAACTGTAAAACATTATACAAGAATAATTTATTTTTTGCTTTAACATCCTTAACCATTTCAGATAATATAACCTAAGGTTCAATGCTTTCCAAGGACCACCATTTGTGTGTGAGTGTGTGTGTGTGTGTGTGTGTGTGTGCAATATTGCAAAAATATCCATAGACTTTCCAAAAATAGAGTGCCCTGAACATAAGTTGTACCTAAATATATGTTGAGCTGATGTTATTTTACAGTGGCTGTGTCGCTAAATTGGAAGGACTCATTTGGGCATAACATCAGGCATCTTATTAGCAGTTTTCTATAAGCTACAGTTTCAAACTCTTCTGATGCAAGGGCCCAAGAATAGTCTCATACATCTTGTGCACTCCCCGGATTAATCCATTTTGCTGCTATTTCTTCAACAAACCAGGGGATCCTCCTTCTCCTACTCTAGAGAGAGGATTCTGAAGTTCTCTATCTTGGATACAAAAAAATCCACAGAACATTGCTCCAATAAAGGTATGCTAATATGTAAAATATTTTTCATCAATTTATTCAGCAAATATTTATTGAGTATCAATTATGTACAAAGTATTAAGACAGATGCTGGAAGTGATACCAAGATAAAACTGGTTTCTGCTGTTAGACATTCTGTCTGTAGGTGTGATAAAGGAGGCACATAATCTGCCAGTGTTTACTAAGTTCTACAAGCGATGTACACTGTATGGCAAACATAGCTCATTGACTTTACTTAAAGTTGGCATTTGATATTAATTTTGAAGGATGGGAGGAAATGGCAGGAGATTTAGAGAAGAAGAAAACACTCAGGCTATGACAAAAGGTATAAAGGCAGATAAAATGACAACACAGTGCTTTCAGTGCATGCTCTTAGATGCTAGTTATAGTAACTAAACTTAGACTCACATACAGAACCTCTTTAGCCATCAGAGAAGTGAAGATTCTAAAGGCATCTAGTCTAGCATCCGGTCTCAAGTGTGCTGAGATTAAATTGAAACATAGATTGAAAAGTGGGAAGACTTACAATACTTTTCTGCCTTGACTCTCTAAAATAGGTTTTTTCATCCATTTTCCCTTTCTGTTGTCACTGCTCTCACTCTATCTAGGTGTTACAGGTTTCTTACTGTCATGTATGTCTCTTATCCTCACTCTTTTCACTGAATATTATTTCTAGATTAACATTCACAAAATTAATTTCATACTATTATTTTCTTACTTTCTGACATTGATGACTCCCCTTTGCCAACAGAGAATTACCAAAACCCTTGATTGACATTCCTCAGCTTCCCGATATTCTCTTCTACTTTTCGGGGTCACCTGCTCATATCTCCAATGCACTGTGTCCATTGTTTGCTTATATCATCTGCTCACCTATCTTACTTTTCTTATTATTTGAAATAATTTTTAAACTTTATCTACTATTCAGGCCCCAAGAAATTAACTCAAATTTTATTTGTAAATATTTTCAAGACCATCCCTGCCAAGTTAAATCTCTCTTGTTTTTAAATTTGTATGCTTAACATGACCGAATTCCCTCTTAAGCTTGAGTTGTCTCTTACTTATACACACACACACACACAAACACACACACACACGCAAACACACTTTTTTGCTTTTGATCAAAATATTCTTTCTGTAAGTGTCTTATTTTCCAACTACATTGTAGAATTTTCTTAGTAGTTACTATCTACTGACTCCTTGTAATATACCAACTTTCTGTGTGTTTTATACTAGTTTATATAATCCTCCCAGAATACCTACTTGAGTAGGTATGATTATTATTCTCAATACATGTAAGAAAACTTAGTCTATCTTTAATAAATATTTGCTGACTAATGTCATAACACACACAAAATACAACTTCATTTTTCTTCATTATATAAAAGTGGACCTTTACTTAGTCAAGTCAATGATCTATTCTGTATACTTTTCTTACCATATATCCACTTTCACCAAGAAAGGCAACTTGATTTTTAAGGAATATTCAAAACAAAGCAAAACAGAAAAAACAAACAAAATACCATAGGCTACTGAAAGAAGGCCCAGAGGGATGTCACACATTTTGCCAATTTTTTTAAACTGCTCATTCTTTTATTTTTTCTTTGCCAGAGAGCATATGTGCTTGCCAGAGAGAGACAGAAAGAAGGCGAGGAAGAGTGCACTTACAAGGGAGAATGGTCATGCCACTATCCCTACTTCTCCATTTCTTCATCCTGTTGGGATCTGGGGCATGCACGTATGTTTT